ATTTTAAAACCTGTTAGCATTACGTGTCCACAGCTATGATGTTACAAGAACGGTGGCTCGACTAGATTCGGGTTACTGCTGACGATGCTGTTGGCTGATGTCACGTGACATTATGGAGGAGCTGGGGGTGACGCGTACAGAAGGGGAGATGTGCCGTCATGACAGGGGAGACAATGAGCTTTTGGGTAAGGTTATTTACAGGGAGAGCACTGAAAAAAACGTTACAGGGAGAGAACTCAAAAAAAAAACTTTACAGGGAGAGCATTCAACGATGGCTTAAACAAGGAACAGTTACTCGTACATGAAAAATTTTGTTTAAAGAAAAACAAAAATCAAAGCTTGAATTACTGATGGGAAGGAAGAAAAAAAAATGAAAATTAATTAAAATGTATTTAAAGATAATATAACTCATGCCTGTATAGTTCATTATTTGAAACGACCTAAAATAATTGCTCTTAGTGCAATCTGTAAAAATATAAATGAATTGACGTTTTTAATTTAAATAAACACTAGCATTAACTACAACAGCTTAGGTTAGTAAATCCAAGGATTTAAACTTGGAAAGGGCTTAAACAAGTATAAGCTAGGCGTAGAACTGACACTAAAATACACACATATATATAAAAATATATATATATATATATATATATATATATATATATATATATATATATATATATATATATATATGGTAGCTTCCTTTAATCAACCATATACTTTTAGACCAGTAGTTACTTATAATGACTTACAAATCTAGATCTGACAAATTCCCACGAATACAGAAATAGACCTATAGCTATTAGATTCCATAAGAAGCTACAACTCCACTAATTAGTATTTTAATGACCGCGTCATCAAAAACTTATTTATCCTGAGTCGCCCGACATCCGGTCTGGCGACCCTACCTGACTCCCCCGGCGGACACGAGCCTATACGGGAGTCACGTGACCAGCGTGATGTAAATCATTTTTCTACCTGTCATTGATTTTTTTCTATCGCGCGCTTCCCATAAATAAAAAAAAAACAACTGTCGCCGGGTAATACGATGTGTGTGTGAGTGTAGGGGGGGGGGGGGTAGGGCAGTCGACAATTCCCCCGAGTGTTATTCACCTTACAGTCACGTGATTTAGGTTTCTGTTACATGTCCATGACGCATTCCATCGTTGACAAAAGGTATCGTGGATTGTAGTGACGACATTGTTGTTTTAAAGAACGGATGTTGACGTTGGTGAATTAAAAAACTGTTGACAGACTTCACGTGCGAATGTAAAAAAAAAAGTTGGTTGTTGTCTCGCTCTAGATTTTCTGTTAACACGTGTCGGTCTGGTGGTTTTATGACCACCGACAGATTGAGTTAGATGGAAGTATATGCGGCACCTTAAGATACACAATTCGGTCTGGTGGTTTTTATAATCATCAACACGTTGAGTTGGAAGCTTGAGGTATATGAGGTACTAGGCAGAACAGACAGGTCAGTTATAGTCATAAGGGAAAAGGGGGGGGGGGGGCACCAAACAAGGTAGTGGGTTGCCCCAGTTGGAGGCTGGCAAAACATGGGAGGTAATCCACGGGTGTAGTGGCATGTAATATGGGAGGTAACCCATAGTAACATGGGAGGTAATCCACGGGTATAGTGGCTGGTAACATGGGAGGTAACCCATAAAACATGAAAGGTAACCCATTGGTCTAGTGGCTTGTAGCACGGGAGGTAACCCACGGGGTATCGTGGCAGATAAAAGGGAAGTAACCCAAGGGTCTAGCGGCAGGCAACATGAGAGGTAACCTATGGGCCTAGTAGCGGTTAAAAGGGAAGAGAATACAGCTCAATTCGTCATAGTGTGTCAGTCTGTCTGATAATGGTTATTACTTGAGCCGGTAATGATTATATACTATACAAAGCTGATATACAAATACAGCTATTTTTTCGGCCGAGATAAACTAATATATATATATATATATATATATATATATATATATATATATATATATATATATATATATATATATATATATATATATATATATATATATATATTGCAGGTTATCAAAATTTTAAAATAAACCTCGAACGAAAATGCAAAAAGGGCTTTGAAAAAAGGGCCTCTGATAAAAGTCCCACTTCAACCCCTAACCCCAGACTAAACTAGCACTAAGCACCTGAGCCATTATGTAGGAATTTGTCTACAGAGCCCATCAAAAACTAATGCTAGCGGGAGAAGAATTCCCCCCCCCCCCCCTTAGGTTCCTAGCATAAGACAAGGTACCTCTTTCAAGTGTTTTTTTTAGGTCTATTTTTAATCGGGATAAAAGAACCACATCCTTCTGAGATTACGTTTTAAGTGTCTTGCTTCCGCCAGCTAAATATGGGAACTCAGAAGTTTAGTTGTAATTGTAGCGTAAAAATATTGATATGCCACTATTTCTGGTTTAGACGGATGATGAATCAATTAATTGTCACTAAAATGATTTATAAACGTATAATTCTATCGACATATACTTAAAAAATCCGAATATATATGTAAACTAAGTTTGAACTAGATGAATGTCATAAGTTTCACACAAGTTCTCTAGTCGATGCAATGGGAGAATAACATAAGATTGGAGTGGTGGTATTGGAAGATGCATGTGATGGTGTAGAGGGCGTGATGGTATAAATAGATGGATGTGACAGTATGGTAAAGGAAGATGGGCATGAAGTGGTCAAAAATTAGGACAAGACGTTATTTAAGAAAATAAGACAGACACAGCTACAAATGTAACCTTTAACAAACGAACATTAAACTCAATACTTTATCGAAATTCTAGATCAACATGTTTCTCAAAAAAAATGAATTTTAAATTAGGTTTTTTTTTTAACAGAAACCCCTCAAAGTTTAGAATGCATTCCATTATCGTATTTGATTTCTGACACCCAGAGATTCTGCGCGGAAAAAAAGTCTAGCTTCTTGTGAATATGTTCACAACTTAATGACTTGAAATCGTAATATACGTTTAAAATAGAAATGATTTAATCCAAATGATCCAACTTAAAATATAATATATGATTTAATTTGTTCCAAGAAGTTTTTAATGTTTTTTTTCCTGCTGTATAGATAGATAACGATTAGAGCTATGTATATTTTTTCTCTTATATATACTTAGATGTTTTTCCCCCCACTCAAGTTTAACATTACAAACTGATTACTCACTCTTATAGTTTAAAACTGATGGTAGAACTTATGGTACAATTTATGGTCTAAAACTGATCGTAGAGCTTATGGTCTATAACTGATGTTAGAGCTTATAGTCTAAAACTGATGGTAGAACTTATGGTCTAAAATGATGGTACGACTTATCGTCTAAAAATAATGGTATAGTTATGGTCTAAAACTGATGGTACGACTTATCGTCTAAAACTGATGGTATAACTTATGGTCTAAAAATGATGTTATAACTTATAGTCTAAAACTGTTGGTATAACTTATGGTCTAAAACTGATGGTTGAACCTTTGGTCTAAAACTGATGGTATAACTTATGGTCTAAAATGATGTTATAACTTATGGTCTAAAACTGATGGTATAACTTATGGTCTAAAACTGATGGTTGAACCTATGGTCTAAAACTGATGGTATAACTTATGGTCTAAAGCTGTCCATTTTTAAGGTTTCTTAAAACATCTATACATCTCCACAACTCGGCTGTATCAGGCTATAAAACAAGTGATATAAAATCACATGACAGCTAACTTAGACCTTGTAAAAACATGCAAGCTAAACTATTACGTACATATGTACTACTAGTCAGATATGAAACTTTTACACCATACTAGACATAAGGCGAGTTACGTTACTAATACGACAAATCTTCGCCTGAAAAGAGCACTATAAAAGAATATTTAAACAGGATTACATAGTGCTTAAAGCCAATCGCTTTGATAAGATTATTGTACGGGAAGAAAAGAAAAACAAATGGAATCAGCATCTAGTAACATTTTTAAGAGGGATCTTATCTAAATATTCATCTCCCTAAAATACACGGCTATTTTTGAAAAAGGATGTACTTCAACTCAAGTACTCGCGTACAATTCTGCTTATCATTAAAACAATCGTAAAGAAATAGCAAGCTGCATAAATTATACTGTCTGAGTCCTAGACAATATTCTGTTTGTCGAACATTTGCTGCTGTTTGTGAATTCGTTTGTTTGTTGGTTTTTGTCGTGTGGGCATTAGCAATTATTTCTTGCTTTATCTTTGACATAAAATGTAAATGATCGTCGTAAGAAAATAATACCTCCATTTAATTGTCCAAAAGAATATATATATATATTTTTTTAATTTGGATAGTGTGGTTTTAAAGTAGGTGTTATGTTGGAGTAAGTAAAAGTGAATTTCCCTTTCAAACCCGACGGTCTACGGGGCAAGTGAAGTAGAGTTCACCTCAGCATATGTAGGGATTATGTGGTCAGCATTATGCCCAGCCGCCTTTACTTACCCTAACATAAGTTAGGTACTCATTATAGCTGGGTGAACTCAGGATATTTAGTATTATATTTAGTAGCAGAGGATAGGTCCTTTTATCTATCTGAGGACTGAATGTGGGAGTAGTTTGATGATGTCTGAGTGTATGGTGCCATTGTTTCTAGGGTAGTTAGGTGAGGTAATCAGTCAATTGTCTAGACAGGTCACAGTTTTTTAGTGATCTCAAAAAAAAAAACACTTGGACTACGTAGAAAAATCTCCCTTTTTTTTTTCTAAACGTATAGAGTATAGATCTAACAGGAAGAATTGTAACAACTTTTTTGAAATTAAGTTATAAAATGAAAAATTGTTTTCTTCCGCCTTGCTTGCTTTAGCCGAAGTATAGCTATATATATATATATATATATATATATTTGTTTATATTCACATCATTTATACATACACTATATATATATATATATATATATATATATATATATATATATATATATATATATATATATATATATATATATACATACTTTTAAATGTAAAAAACTTACTTTTCTTATCTGTATCTGTACATTGTATCTGTTTTGGAAGATCTGTGTGCAATCTTTTAGGTTGATTGCAGGATTGTTGCAGCGTTTAAATATCTATAGCCCAGTAGCCGAACAAACTCCGATGTCACTTTGTAATCAAAGTTAAAAAAAATTGTCTTGTCAAACTGAATACCATCTGTTACGTAACTCGATTGTTGTTTTTTATTACCAGCTCCCAGCTCAGACAGACACTGTATTACTCTGACCACTGGCTGCATCAGAGGCCAGCTTATATAATTGGTTGTGATTTTGTTTACGTTAGGGGGTGGGGGGCAGGCGGGTGGCGAGGACCGGGGCACCCCGGGGGAGGAGCGCCCGCCGTCAGCTGCAGCGTCGCGTGCTGGCGGTGAAGTGAAGTGTGAGCGGCGGCAGACAAGTTCCAGCACTCGGCACCACGACTGTGCAGGTCGGTGCTCCCTCGGTTCTTGTAGACGTAACAACGGTCGTCAATTGTTCTAGACATCACAACTTTCATCAGTTGTTCTAGACATCACAAGTCTCGTCACTTGTTCTAGACATCACAACTTTTATCAGTTTTTCTAGACATCACAACTTTCGTCACTTGTTCTAGACATCACAACTTTCGTCACTTGTTCTAGACATCACAACTTTCGTCACTTGTTCTAGACATCACAACTTTTATCAGTTGTTCTAGACATCACAACTTTTATCAGTTGTTCTAGACATCACAACTTTTATCAGTTGTTCTAGACATCACAACTTTTATCAGTTTTTCTAGACATCACAACTTTCGTCACTTGTTCTAGACATCACAACTTTTATCAGTTGTTCTAGACATCACAACTTTTATCAGTTGTTCTAGACATCACAACTTCCGTCAGTTGTTTTAGATCTCACAACTTTCATCACTTGTTCTAGACATCACAACTTTCATCAGTTGTTCTAGACATAACAAAGGTCGTCACTTCTTCTAGACATCACAACTTTCATCAGTTGTTTTAGATCTCACAACTTTCATCAGTTCTTCTAGACATCACAACTTTCATCAGTTGTTCCAGACATCATAACTTTTATTGTTTGTTAAGATTGAGGGTAATGTTAGATTATGGTAGTTTTACTTCGGGTTAAAAACGTTAAGATTTAAATATCTTTTACCGTTTGATGTAGATATAATAACTTTTAACAATTTCTATTTTAATACTTCACTTCATCATTACCTCTTAAAATCATAACCTTTACTTTCTTCGGCTTTTAGGTTTATAAAAATCAGAATTTAAAAGCATTTTTCGTCGTATTTGGTTTGTGTGTGTGTGTGTGTGTGTGTGTGTGTATGTGTGCTGAAATATTCTGTTTTATTTTCATTATTTTATAAATTTAACAACAAGCGTTTTACATCTTTACATCGCTTTTCAGCAAAGTTTAGCAGCAAGTGCTTTAAATGTTACATAGCTTTATAACTTCTTCTTTGTTCTTAATTTTCGTGTTGAAAGGGATCCCCTCCAACACAATTAAGGATACGTGTCAACCTGTTATGCGCCATTGAGGCCATTGACGCCAATTTCAGCCTGCTTTTCTTTTTGGATTTGCTTCTATAGCCTTTGTCCAACCAAGAACAAACTACAAGGCAGAAGTTGTTTGATTTTGGAGTTGTCTCTCCTAGAAGAGTGGCTGTCCCCAATTAACGGGCCTCATCTGCCCAAGGGTTCGAACTCGAGACTTTTCGGTTTAGCAACCACGAGCTTTACCGACTCGACCACCAAAAAGCCATATATTTGTGCCCTATAAATGCATACATATTTCTAGAGCAAAGTTTAGAAAAAAAAGCTCTATAGATTACATAGCTGTATAAAAAAAAATTTAACAAAAATCCCTTTATATTCATACATCGCTTTTCATCAAAGTTAACCATAAGCTCTTTAAACTTTAACACATAGATCTGACATCTATCTTTTAATTCGTGGTTCGACCACACAATAACAATGTGCTAAATAACACTTCAGCTTTAGATTTATTTCTTCCCAGTACGTTTAAAAGCAGAAAAACCTAGATGAAATCCAGGGCTGTAGAACTCACATCAACCAACGTTTAAAAAAACCGAACATATCTTCTTATCACTAACCTGTATGACATCATTAATTAATTATCTGCACGCATCGCGAAAAACAAATCTTTTTCATTTATAGGAAAGAAAATGCAATCTCATCGACACAATAAAGATCTGTTCTATAACATGATACGTGATAGAAATTAAAAGTTATATTGAAGTCATCTTCGTGGTGATATAAGAGAAAGCAAGAAGCAATGTTGATTTATTTTTTATTTAATTTTATTTACAATAAAAACATTCTTTTTTAATTTGACAAACAATTCAAAAGACCCTTCTTCTATCAGATATAAAATGAAAGATCATGATCAGATATACGATACGCCTCAAAGGCTTTAATCTAACACACTTGTATGTAACATGGAAATTTACATTTAAATATACATTCCAAACATACAGAACTATACATTTAAATATACATACCAAACATACAAAACTATACATTTAATTATACATGCCAAACATACAAAACTATACATTTAAATGGACCAACTAAACATACAAAACTATACTTTTAAATGGACTAACTAAACATACAAAACTATACATTTAAATGGACCAACTAAACATACAAAACTATACATTTAAATGGACCAACCAAACATACAAAACTATACATTTAAATGGACCTGTATGTGCCACAGAGGCATAGCGACCCTTCCCGGCGCCCGGGGACAAACTTTGCACTCCCCTCCCCTCAAACTTTCCTTTTCATTTGCACCCCCCACAAAATTTCAATTTGTTTTTCCAACCCATTTTTTGCGCCCCCTTAAGGTCGGCGCCCGGGGACATATGTCGTCCCCCCGCCCTTCCCCCTTGCCACGCCTCTGATGTGCCAGACAAAAAATAGACATACGAAACTAAACAAAGCTATATATGTAAATCTAAGTCCCCACAAGTTCCCCATTACCTTGTATGTATATAAAACATTGGTTGCTGACGAAATGCGATTCCGTCTTGGTCACAAGTTCTCGACCTGGGGGGGGGGGGGGGTATGGGCGGGAAGGGATAGACTTGCTTCAGTGGAGAAAGGATGGCAGTGCCATCTCGAAGAGATGCCTGAAAGAAACTCTGCCAGTGAGCGGCTAACTCAAGTATAAGGGCTAACAAGTGCTCACATGTCGACGCGTCCAGTGCAGAAAATACACGACCCCGGTGTATTATTAAATATATAATCCAATTTAATTTTCATAATTTTTATCTATCACATAAATAACCGATAGATAAGGCAGTGTTATTTCTTAAAGATTGGAAATTCGTTCAGTTACCAAGAAATGATACTAAAAAAATTGGCTTTATCAGCTCCTGTAAATCTGGTAAAAAAATTACACTTGGAAATTCCCTTCGAACCTTACCTACGTCACGCAATGGTCTATTAACCCACAGCACCGAAACTTACCGAGAAAAAAAAAAGTTTAATTTCAGACGAAGACTGCAGCAGAGCAGCGAGGTCTAATCAGGCCGAATGGGTTCATCTCTGGGTCAGCTTCCTCTACGTCACCCTAACCGAGTTAACAAATAGAATTGTTTTACAGCCATTAGTGCAGCAGGCTCGATTTAATTGCTTGTTGACAAAACCATGAAATTACGGGGGGAAATTCCTAATAGAAAAGAAGTATAATTAATTTAATTAATGGCTTGAATTATTTGTTTCTTTGCACTTTTTTTAAATTCATTTTTTTTTAAAATGCATCACAAAATGAACAGACGATCTAGAAATATCGTGTTTTATTATTTAATAAGTTGAGTGAAAATAACTCTTCAGCGCCAAAAGTTCATCCGCTGATATCATATGTGGATGTCAAGGTCATTATTGAATTTTTTGTAGTAATGTCAAGGTCATTCGTTAAGCTTTTTAACGATTACACAGATTACACGTTCTTGCCTTAATCTTCACTGGATTGCATGGCATGGCCATCCAATAATCGTTACAATCCTCTTCTTCTTCGTTTTTAATTTTAATAGTGAAGAGGATTTCCTTCAACGCAATTAAGTATTACTTTACAATATGTTATGCTCCATATGATCCCAGTTTCAGCGTATTATTTCTTTCTGGATTTACTTCCATAGGCTTTGCCTACCCAAGAACAATTTGTACAGCAGCAGTTGTTTAATTTTGTAGGTTTTCATCCTAGATGGGTTGCTGTTCCCCGTCAAGCAGCTGTACCAGCCTGAGGGTTCGAACTCTGAACTTTTGGAGTTGCCGACCATGAGCTCTTCCGCCCGACCACGCCGTCCCAATCTTTTGCAATAGTTGCAAGGTAATTCTTCAACTTTTGTAATTATCGCAAGGCAATTCTTTAATTTTTGCATTGATTGCAATGTAATTATTTAACTTTTGTAATGATTGAAAAGTCATTCTTTAACCTTTCAATGATTGCAAGATAATTCTTTAATTTTTGCAAAGATTGCAAGATAATTCTTTAATTTTTGCAATGATTGCAATGCCATTCTTTATCTTAAAATCTCTTCATTTTCTTTCTTTAATCTTTACATTAAATTGCGAGGTCATCTGTTAATCTTTACAATGATGCCAAGGTCTTAAATTATTCTTTAGGGTGATGATAAGGTCATACATTAATCTTTACAATGATGTTATGTCATACATTAATCTTTAGGGTGATATTAAGGTCATACATTAATCTTTACAATGATGTTATGGTCATTGTTTAATTTTTACACTGACGTTAAGGTAATACATTAATCTTTACACTAACCACAAAGGGCATCTAATAATCTTTGATCACTAGAACATCTCTGTATCCTCACACAAAACGCATCTGTGCACCCTTACAATGCTCACAAGTCACAAAATCATCCTTGAAAGTAATCAGAAGGCCACTAGCTGAACTTCAGTGATGATTCGCTTACACGTTGAAGTGATAAGTAATAGAAGGTCATTTCCTGATCCTTACAATTAGGTCCAAGACCTATGTTTACTAAAACATATGTTATACCAAGACCTATGTTATACAAAGACATATGTTATACAAAGACATATGTTATACAAAGACATATGATATACAAAGACCTATGTTACACCAAGACCTATGTTATACCAAAACATATGTTATACCAAGTGCTATGTTATACAAAGACCTATGTTATACAAAGACCTATGTTATACAAAG